GACTTCATTTACCATTCAGGCCTACTTTCGCATGATTATATGTTAGACGACGCAAGACTAGATACATTTTACATGGTATCTTTGTTGCTACGAGTAAGTTGGGAAAACGAGGTCAAGCCAACATTATACAGTTGAAGGAAACTTAGACTAAACCTGCGGCCACAGGATGCTTTGTTCTTTTTCTAGATTCACTGCTAGTATCGAAACCATTAACTAACCTCGAAGGATTCCCAATCAACTTTGCAGATGTCCCGAGCAATCCAGACCATCTTTTGGGATTCAGCTTCATTTTGCATTATACCTATTCCTTTAAAACTAGATCCCTGAAGAGTTATACACACCGTATGCTTGCGCCGTATTCATTCTTCTTAGCCCACATTTACAAACGCATCTGCATCACGTGAGCTTCTTCACTTCTCCATCACATACTTGATTATGTTTTCGATTTTAGTAGATTTTGGGACTATATTGTTTTTCTGCTACTTTTATCCTTATACTGATTTATGCTGCAATTAATTGTTTATCTGAGCCACGATCTGTACTCCAGGTTCTGGATTGGAGTCAATGCATGCTATTCTTGTTTTTATTTTCTTCTCCATTATGCTCATCTGGACATTCTTTGTAATATCTTCCTTAGCTCTTGCATATGATACCATGTACCCCCCTGCACTCCGGCCACTTTTGGCCATCTCATCACTCTCTTTCATAAGGTATTAAATCCTCCAATTATCCTAGAGAATCTGGTGTCTTCTTCGAAGTACTATAATTCATAAATATGGCCAGATGCACCTTAGCATTTAGCCCTCCATTTGTGCTCTAATTAACAAAACGGTTTGCTTTAGAGCGCTCGCTGGATAGCTTTCTTTGGGAACGCTGACCTGACAACGGCCATCTGATCGGCTGAAAAAGAAGACATATCAATTGGGTAAGTATCACTTTATTGAGTCGTAAGAACCTGTTGGTGAAAACTTTGGGTTCTCTGGCACATTTCTAGCAAGATAGAGGCATCCGAAGACACGCATCAAGAGGAGCAGCTGTAATGCCAAAGTGATTAACCCTATAATCATCTTTGAAGAAAGATTATGATGCTTCTCCTCCCAGTGATTGCAGGCTTTAAGATCTGTTCATGTCTTTTGCCGAATTTTCTCTCTTTCTCTCGCTGCAATTTTTAGTTTTTAACAAGCATTTGCTTTCCACTTATCCTCCTTGGCTATTTCCTATCTCTTTTCTGCCTATGCATTCTCATTCATAATGCCATTCCCGGTATAAGGACTCTTTTATCTAAACTCAACACTTGGAAATCAACCAGCAAGGTCTTATTCTACTCAATTATCAAATTTCTTTCCAGAACGCGGATGCAGACTCTCATGTAGATGATGCTGGTGACGTCCTTCTTTTTGCTCTTATCGCATTTTTTATTTTTGTTTTTGAATATATTTTCATTTTACTGTATTTTTTTTCTTTTGGACTTTGGTAAACCTGTATCCCGGCATCTTCTTTCATTCTGGTAGTATTTAGTGGGCAGCATTATGATGTCTGGTATTTTTCAAGATTCATTGCTTTTATCGAGGAATCTCCGGAGAAAGTCTGGTTCGGGAGCCATTTTTGCATGATTCGCTTCCTCACAAGCGATTCTGAATGTGATTCTTCGTCTCACTTCCACCTTGCCTCACTTTCGCCTTCTACTTTTTGCCCTCTACTCATCACTCATCAATTGCCGTGTATGTCTCTCCGGTTGCCTCGTTCATCTCGCCATTCAACACCGGCTCCAGCTGCATGAGAACCAGGTTAGCCACATCGAGATGATCCGCCTTCGAAACCCATGGGGCAATGACCGTGAATGGTCTGGTGCCTGGAGTGATCAGTCCTCCGAGTGGCGTCGTATACCTGCAGAGGAGCGCCGGCGCATCGGGCTCACGTTTGATCATGATGGCGAATTTTGGTACTTGGTCAAGTCACTTTTCCTCTCTAATGTAACTGATCCCAAGTCACAAGCACACACAAACAATTGTGAGTGCATTTCGATTTACTCTGGTTATATACTAAATAGATCTTGAATTTGAAACTTGGCTTGTTTAGGATTGTGCTGAAACAAGTATACAATTTCACGATGCCTCTCAGCTTTATTCAACCTTGCCTCCGAAAATAGCTTTTACAGCCAAGCTTGACTGCAATTCGAATCCCATTAGAATTGCTGATGAGATACGAGTAAAGTTGGAACCTCAGTATGGCCCCTATTAGAAAGCCTTTTGGGAAGCAAAGTCAAACAAAATCCAATGACATCGTCAGGCTTTCTATTCATTTCATTGTTGGAAACTCAACTATCAATTCATGCATCAGCCTACGCAA